GAGAGATATGCTGGGTCTTGGGGTTTTTGCAGTTTCTCTGAGCACTGCATGGTCAGACATTGGGATATTGTCTTGGTTGTTTTCCACTTTTGAATATTTTTTCTCACTGTAGAATGATGGACTTGAGTTTGTTGACCTTATAACTCTTTCCAGATTGAGCAGCAGCAACAATTGCTTATTTAAGATGGTTGCCAATGTCTTTCCTCTGGAAAACACAAGAACCTGAAAAGTCAAAATAAGTCTTTTTATAGAGGTGCTCACACTTGCTGGTTATCAGATAATTAAGGTCATTCAATTATCAGTACCTCACTGCTACTTACCCTGTTAATTCCTCAAGAAGCGGAAAAGGTATAGATAGTTTTTCATACACAACTTCTCCATTATTCATATTTACTTAATTTTAATACCTGCTAAGAACCAGATTTTTTTAATACTATGTCCTGATACATAAAACGTTGGAATTATTATCTATTATAAAAGCCATGTTATATTACAGTCCCAAATCCCAAAAAGTTGGCATGCGTGCATGTCTTTCGAACGCTCTAGATCACGTTAGGAAACTCTTCTTTCTAAAAACCTCACCTTTACTGTACCTTTTCGTGGAGCTGGTACAGCTTAAAGTACATTAAAAATGACCTTGTGAAGTTTCTCCCTGAAGGTGCAATCGGAGATCAAGAGGAAATGGCGCAGCTGGACGGTGAACCGGTACTTTGCTGTGGACCTGAAGCAGCAGAGGCATCCTTCGTTGGCCAGCAGTGGAGTGAACGGCGGGACTCAACTGTCGATCCTCAGCAAGAGCAGCTCGCAGATACGCATGTCGAGCCCGCTGGCGGAGAATGCCAACATCAGCCTCCCGACCTGAGCATCTGATTTGCTAGAATCAACTTCAAGGTGCCGTTCCACTTACCTACATCAGACCAACCAGAGCAGACCAAAGTGGCCCCTCAAACCTCTTGCATGTAATTCACCTTTAGAAAATGAATCTTTCTGAAAACATTTACTGGAGATTTTATGTCTTTATCATTTAATATTGAAGTAATATATTTAATTTATCTCACTACCTTAGACTACTTTAGGTTGCAATTTTTATGATTAATGACTTAAAATGAATATTTTTGCACAACTTAAATTACATTTTATTGATTTAAATTCTCTTTATATAATATTTCCCCCTTTTATTGTTTTATTTACATTCAGATAGGAGATGGTGCCACAAGAGACACTATTAAAATAATAATAATAATACATTTTAAGAAATAAATAGCTTGACATAAAGTATGGGGTCATATTTGGCTGTTGGTGTAAAGTAAATGTGCTTCAAAGTGCCAAACTGGTTGCCTGACTGGATTTCATTACAGCCCAAAGTTAATTATCAACCAAACGTTCGCCTTGCTTGTAAAAAATGCTCATTGTTTAAATGTTTTGTCTTGAATTTAAACATTTTCTACTTTCAGCCGTAAGTACAGAGTATGTCAAAATATAACTTATATATAAAGAAAAAAAAAACTCATGGATTGTGTAAATAGTGACTTTTAGTGTCTAGATCAGAATTTCTTTATTTAGGATAACGCAGTATTGTTATGACCTTTTCAAATAAAAGGAACTGGAGCCCAGATCTGTAGACTACATCCCATATCCAGAGGACCCAGAAGATCCTGCCCACTCTAGTCTGGACTATTTTTTGTATGAAATGAAAAATAAAAACACATACAGTATATATAAAAGAGATGTGAACGAACTGTGTTTCCCAACCTTGGGAATCCCAAAATTAGATTGAATTAGAGGGACTGTGAGAAGTTAGCCATAATGTGGACATTAATATTGGTTTGTTTTTCCTTCTAGTTCCTCATCTTGATGCTTAAAATAAGCAGCCTGTCCTCACAGAGTGTGATGATGGGTTGCGAGCTGACTTAGTTTTGTTTTAAGCGGTTACAGATCAGAAAGGTTGGGAACCACTGATCTACTATCTGAACCAACTAGAGCCTTTAGCTGCTCTACTAGTGGAGCTCGAGTCCCCTTTTCCCTTTTCAGACAGATTTTTTTTGCAAACTGTGAACATAAACAGTACACGTGCCATATAGTGGATGCTTTCACCCAAAGCTCTTCATAGTGCCATGAGTTTAAATGTACATCGTTTTATTGTAGGGGAGAGATTCCCACTGTCAACATGCTCTTGAACATAACAGATTTCATTGTCTCTTGATCTCTTTCCTCCAAGCTTGAGACCATTGTGCCATAATAAATTGTTCCTACTCTAATTTTAACCATCCTACGCTCATATTCCAAAGTGCCTAGTCGGTCACAAATAGCTATCATTTTTACATTTTTACAGGTAATCTAAAGGTGCAGCGAGTCATTTCAAAGAATGTACAGAGTGGTGGATTTCAGTGTAGATTGAAGAAAATATGCTTTTTCCATTGTGTGTCTCAAAACTTTATTAGTGAATTTCTCATCATTGTCAGTTTATTAACTTACACACAGTGTAAAAAGAGTCCTGCTGTGTAGTTTTCCATAATTTTTATTTATTTTATTTATCTCTTGGTTTACAGCCATGATGTATCTACAACACTCATTTTAGCAGCAATGTGAAAGATAAATGGCTTCAAAACAAAACAAAAAAACAAGTGGTGTAACAGTCAACATTAAAGGCTTTAATGTGACAGCTCTTGACAATCGCTGATTTTTGCTCATTTTTCTGTTTTGTTTGTGCAAAAAACAGGCTGAGAAACAATAATTGTACAAGTGGGAAATTATTTAATAGAATAAAATGTGAAATGATGTAAACAAAAATAGTTTTTTCACCATATTTATTTTATGTACCATCATAGTTGGATTCTAAGAATGTAGTATCTTTGAACAATGAATTGATGATACTTTACAGATAAGGATGTATATTTATTTTCCATGAAATGGTGCCATGTAAAGTGACTATATGTACAGTATACATGCTTTTTTGTGCATAAAACATAGTTGTGGTTCTAATGTATGATTTCATTATTTTGAGTGATGTGGTGTTCTTGGTCTAAGTGCCATAAATGTAGTGTCATAAGAAGTGAGAGTGGGAGATGCATAGCAAAGTCTCTCACTCTAGAGAAAGACAAAAAACAGAAGAAGCAGATGCAACCTCTGAAAAGTAACATTATATCAAATGCATCATCTTTGCAGCTTGTGGACAGTAGAGTGAGGACAACAGACAGGGGACATGATTTTATTCAAATAGATTTTTAGAGGTGGAACAAATGCAACAGACAAAACACAAAGTGTGTAAGAGAGTGTGACTTTAAACACAAACACTCTGCTGCTGCTTAAGTGTTTCTATCACCAGCCGTCACTCTGAGTGTTAAACAGCTCAGATGTAAACGACCATGTCTCAAAGCTGTTACTGTATGTGAAAAAAAGAAGAGTAAAAATGACTCCTTGCTCATTTCCGTGCTGTGTATTTGTCTACCACAGGGTGGCAGTAAAATGTTAAGGAGAGTGGACAGTTTTGACAGGCACTGTTTTGCTCATGTTTAGAAATGTAGGATAGGGGGTAGAGATGCTTATATGCCATATTTTTATTCTTTTTCTACATCTGTTTTTGTGACAAGCCCAACATTTTGATGTCCATAATAAAACTTAAATTAATATTGTTTTGTTTTTTCAATGTAGAGATATGTGTTTTTCTGTCATGCCATATCTCAAATTCCTCCCCTTCACTTTAGTGAACTGTGTCAGTTTTTAACCATACTGTGAGATTAGAGGAAATCTGCAGAATTTGTTTTGATTCTTAGCACTAGCTAGAGGAAAACTGAGCATTGTAGCTTTTAGCTAAATTTTGGCTAAAAGAGACCACACTGCTTTTCATAAACCTCTTCTTGCATTTATTTTAGAATTATTATAACAAACGAATGTATCAAAGAGAAACCCTGATAATTTTTTTTAATATTATATATAGAGATATATAATAGCGTGATAACACGCTTATATCTGTATGCTAGAAAAAGAAGCTATATCCAGTGATTAGGGAAACAGCTAGCCTCTGATCCTCATTTAACTCCCTATTTTATACCCATACCAAAAATACAATATATATAATTTATGAATAAACCTAAAAGGCTGTTTCCCATACCTAGTAGATTTCTACTAGCTGGAAGTGACTTTTTTTACTAGAAGAGAAACCCCCCCTCCCCTTAGCTAAATAAGCTAGCTGGACAGCAAGCTAATATCTTGTCTTTTTGCCAGCATTTTTAGCATCAATCTCATTTAACTTTTCTCCAAAAAAAAAAAAAAAAGTAAATGAGTGTTTCTAAAACTGATTAAAAAAATATTTTGACTGTAATTATTCTATGTGGCATATCTCTGTGTTAAGATGCTGTTACTTTGGCGGTTGTGCTTGTTGAGCCGGTTTTATGATGTTTTGAATGTGTGTTAAGTCTTGATTGCCAATGAATTGAATGTACCGTTGTCGCTCAGCTGCTCTTAAATGTTGCCTGCTATAAATTTGCCATAGTGTACAAATGATGTCTTTTCTTTATCATGTATGTATACTTTTGGCACACAGGTGGACCTCTTGACTAAGACCTGCAGTGTTTGTGGCTGTGATTTTGTACATTTCTTTATGTACCAGTTTTCAGTGTGTGTGTGTGTGTGCGCGCGTGTGTGTGTGCATCTGTGTTTGAAAGTTGGAGACTGTAATCTGTATGCATGTGTATGTAATGACAAGCATTTAAATATATGTAAATTCTCAGTTTAATGAAGAAAAAATATCTATGAACTTTCATCAAAGTTAAGTTCTACCTGTGACAGTGTGCCATGTGTAACAAGCGTTCTGGTGTCCAACATTCATGTCTCCAGTTGTGTAAAATTGACTGCAAAATAAACTTATCGGTGGTAAGTTGTTGTACTTGCAAAGAGTGTGATTCATTATTCAAAGATGGAAGATTTACTTACATTTACTATCGGTGTAAGAAGTTTACATACACATGGGTGTGAATGTCATGGCAATTTGGGGCTTTTAATAATTTCTTTGAATTGTTCTTTTTCCAGGATGAAATGATTGTACAGTATCCATCTTTAATGACTTTTAAAAAATAAGAATTATCCACACAAGGTCAAAAGTACACGTATAAGCTCAAAGGTATACCTACATTGCCACTAATATTTGATTAAATACAGAATTGGTAGAGTTCATTTAAATTAGTTGGTTTCCTGGCATCACTTGGCTTTAAGTATAGTCCACAAATTTTCAACAGGGTCGAAGCCAAGGCTTTTAAAAAGGTCATTCCACAAGCTTAATGTTAGCCTGCTATATTCATTCCAAAACCAGATCCAAGTTTAGGATGATTGTCCAAGCACCCAATTACGTCCAAGCTTCGGGCTGTTGATCTCAGGTGATGTTGAAGAATATGGAGGTAGCACTCCATTATTCTAAACACTTTGTTGAATGTACTAGTATCACTGACAGCATAACAGTCCAAGAGCACCACCACCATGCTCCTCCAAACATACCTCGTGCTGTCGGAGCCAAATAGCTCAATCTTTATCCCATCTGACCGTAAAACTTTTTCCCCAGAAGACAAGTTGCTTGTCTATATGTGCAACTGCAAATTTCAGCCAAGCTTGAAGGCAGCGATTTTGGAATAGGGGCTTCTTTCTTGATCAGCGCCTAATCAGGCTAAGGCAATGTAATACTGGACCCACTGTGAACAGTGACGCTGGTGTTTCAGCAGTTTCCAGGCTTGAGCTTTTGTGGTTCCTGGGTTGTTCCTGAATGCCTTATCAGATCTTGGCAAAGCGGTGACACATACAAATAACTTGTACTTATGTACAGTTGTTTGAACTGATGATCTCAGAATTTGCAGATGTTTAAAAATGGCTCAAACGTTCTTCTTTTTAGAGCTTCATTGTTCCTTGGACTTTACCATTGTTCTGAGTATCGGTCAATCAAACAAAGAAAAAGAGAAACTACCAGTTGTAGTCAATTATGATTACTGATGAGAAGTTAATATGTCTTTGCTTTATCAAGTCAAAGGACATTTTAGATCCTGAATATGTACTTTTGACTCTGTGTATATTAGAGAAAATCCAAAATAGCTTAAAACTTGTGCGCCTAATTCTTGCTTCTTGTTCTTGTTTTTTTTAAAGTCATTAAAGATGCATGCTGTACAATCACTCCATCCTGGAAAAAGAACCGATCAAAGAAATCATTAAGAGTCCAAAATCACCATGACAGTCACACCCATGGTGTGAAAGTCACAACTGTGGAGAGGAACAGGATTTTTGCACTACACGTATAACTTTATTGCGGGGGATTGCACCCAGTGTGAGTAACAATCTTTGTTGGTGTCTGCGCTAAAGTAACCTGAGGGGTCCACTTTGGAAAAACTATCCTAAAACATTAACTGTACGACTTCGATAGATTTAACAGATAATCCTGGGTGCTTGTTAATAAATGTTAATTATTATTATTCTAAGGGGTTTTTGGACATAGGTGTTCAAGACCAGATTTGGTCCTCTGCTCCATACGGGATTTAAAAGTAATTTAAAAAAGAGTTTAAAATAATTTATCTAAAAAAACATTTTATTTAAAACAAGTTGGCTTTCAGTTTATGACTGCAGAATTTGTTCAAGCAAAAGTCAAAAGTCAAAGCCAAAAAATAAAACGTTTGCTCTCAGCAGCATTAAACTGTTACCCTCATTGGATTACCAGTTCATGAGGAGAACCACCAAAGCTTAATGTTATATTTCACAGTTTTCTATATTTTACATTTCCTACGATTTATAAATTATTTTATTCGATAAAAGTTTCATCCCATTTTATTAAGTATAGCTTCTTGTGTATATTGTATAACATATATTATACTAATTCATATACACATAAAATAAAATATTATTATACAAGTTGTATCTACTTATTAGGCCAATAGAAGGGGGGATAGATGGGCTCAGTAGGATCACTGAGATATCAGCTGCGACAACCGGAAGTGTTTTACATTCATTATGAATCGAGCAAGTAGGGCCTATAGGCATAATTTTTAGGTCTGAGGAATAAAGAGGGTCTGAGGAAGGTGAGGTTTGGCTTCAGGTCCAACATTGTATTTGGGGAAAGGAGAAAATGTGCTTTTCTTAGGTCCTGGTTAAAATTCTGATAGAAAGGAAATCCTATTCTTAGATGGAAAAAGTAAACACTGAATACTTTTAAAACCACAAATGTTCATCTATTACTGTGCATTACATGCACGGGTACACTGTTACAGTGTCTGATGTCAATTGTGTGTAGTTAATCTGGTACTATCTTTGTGTTAAAGATCTTGTATAGTGAAATATTTTTGTACACTAATGTGTCTGCAGCTTTGCTGAATATAAAGACTTAAAAAGTGCAGGGCTGAGATGCAGCATATGAAGTTAAACCAAACTTAACTTCAGAGATGCTGGATGAACTATTACTTTAGGAAATATAATTAAGCAAGCTGTTCCCAGTCTTTATGGTGAGCAAATCTAACAAACTGCTGCTTAAAATAATTACATAATTACAAATGCAAAGGCTTAATGGTTGTACAATTCTCAATATGTATTTGTGTGCACACCTACTATAAAATTTATATACTGACTAGAAAAATCACGTGAACGTCCCCTGAGGTCGGAACAACAACACAGAAAGTCTGAAAAGACATCTTGTGCATCTCTGCAACCCCAGGCACAGAAAGGCATAATTTGACACCCTGGGGTGAGGAAATGTTGTAAAAGCACATGAACACACAGAACTCTGAAAAATGACTTCCAAACTCCAAAAATTGGACCACCTGAGGAGCACTTGAATGCACAAATAAGAGGTGCTATGTTTTATTGTGCTGTAACTTTGGACCATTGTCAGTGTGGGTAACCAGCCCAGTGTTGTTAAACACAACCATTTTATGACATTGTATTATGTAAATGCCAGGCACTCTTTTAATAATTTGGTATTTCTTTAAGTGCAACTAGTACATCAAATGCTCATGATTTATCACATCTGACAACACCATAAATATGTGGAAAGCAGCAAATAAATATTCACAAATCCAATGGCTCATCATCAAACCAATAAGTTAAGACATGATGTACCAATTAATGGCAATGCAAAATGCTTGTCCTGGACTCTCTGGATCTCAGTACTTTAAAAAATTATATATAGATATACATAACATATATATTTCAGTCAGTGAAATGCTAAGTGAGCAAGCACGCACAACTCCAGAGTGGTCCTTCAAAAGTTTCCAGCATAGACTGCTCCTGCTGCTTGCTGCACAGAACTATTTCACATATGTTAGTGATTTCCCAAATCCAGTGTTTCCACAGCTGTCTCTATTGAGGTTTCTCATGTCATGAGCCCATTGCTCAAAAGTTGTCTTCCATAATGATGAAAAACACCCATCACTTGACAACTGGTCATTAGTGGTTCCTGGAGGCTGTTGTGTGTAATTGAAAGCAAAGATTTTTTTTTCTCTAATACGTCTCTAATTCACTTCTCTTGCTGACCATTGTACAGCTGTACAATATGAATTTCCCCAGTGTGGGATAAATACAGTCTATTTCTATGTCTAAACAAGGAGTTTCAGCACTGCAGCCCACATTTTTTAAAAGGCACAACTTATACTTTGCAGACACACAGTCGCCACTTTTTTTCCACAGTTTTTACTTGAGATAAAAGCCCCTTTTCCATTAGAACCTACTCAAATCGACTTGCCATGGTTCACCACGGTTTTCAGGGTCTTCTCTTAGGTCATAGTATCTGGACCAGGTACTAACATAGTACCTGCTTGGCCAGGGTTCATAGTGAACCGAGCTTTTGCTAAAATGTGACGTGGTCAGACTGCATGCCACCAATTGGCTAGTCAGGGGCATCGCTCAATGAGTCATGATAGCGTCCCATTCACGAAAATCAAAAACACTTATTTTGAAACCTGGTAACGAGGGGAAATGGCTACAAAAAACAATGCCATGGTCCCCAAGTCTGATGAAAAGCCACAGACTGAACAGCAGGTATATTCTTGCTTCGATGTCCACCTTTGTTGTAGCATTCATTTCATACATTAACCGTGTATTTATCAACGCTCCGCCCCGTTTCTATAACAATGACCATGCACATTAGGTGGTACTCAGTTGTAATGGAAAACCAGTCGATCCGAGTCAAGACGTGGGCGAGTCGTGGTGAGTCAATCCGAGTAGGTATTAATGGAAAAAGGGGTTAACTAGACAACGTCTGTAGAAAAATCACTTTCATTCAAATGATGACCATAGCAGCATGCTAGCAGCGAAAGCAATCACAAGGTTGGGGAATACACATTTTTCCCTAGAAACTGGGGGTTGCTAGGTGGTTACTGACCTATCTATAGGCCTGTTTAACCTCCAGCAAACACTTTTAACTCGTTGGGAAATAAACTTTTTTCCTTCTAACTGGTAATTGCCAGGCAGTTATTGACTGGCCTCTAGGCCAGTTTTTCAAGAATTTTGTGTTTTGGTGGATTTCCTTTTGATCAATTTGCTACTGTGTTACTGTCACCGCTGCAACTTGACACCTTTCCTGAAACCTGGTTTGGTGGCTTTATTAGGTGGGGTCAGTGTTAGCCTAGCTCCTTGTTTTGTTTTCAGCCTGCTTGCTAAGTGCCTGCTACCTTCAACAGCTGTTAAGCACTATTATGACAGTGTCTTGACACTGCCTGCCAGCATACACACAGTTAAAAGATGACCTCCGCCATGTAAAGCAGGAACTGGAGAAAAAGGATGAGCTAACCATGGAGTTCTCATCTGTCATCACTACACAAGCTAAGCACTTAGCTTCTCTACACTCCTCCTGCTGCAGAACCAACTGCTTTTCCACGCATTTCTTCACTGTGACACCATACTCCCCTTCTGTCCAGTTCTGTTTCTCTACTGGAGGTAACCCTGTCATATACTGTCAGGTCAGTTGAATCTGTGGTTTGTCTTATATGACAGTTAAAACCTAATTTTTTATAGTATAACATTTCCTTAGTCTTTTCCCATTATTTTTGGTTCTTGTTCTTCTAATGTGTGTATGCAGGAGTGAATGTACTGTAAGATGTTTGCCTGTGTTTGGACTTGTACATTACATCCTGTTTCATCCAAACTAGGAATTTTGTAACTGCATTTTTTAAATAAAATAATCGTTGCTGTTATTATTATTAACATTGCTGTTAGTATCATTATTAGCATTACTATTAGCATTATTATTAGCATTATTACTGCAATGTCACCATGCTCACACACTCAAAATGGCAGACAAATTAACATCTGAGGTTTGTCGTCATGTGTCTGCAAATGCTAAATATGATTCCACAACATTTTTGCTCAGTCATTAACTCAGGGCCAGCTCTGTCCCCAGGTTTTCCTCTTTCCTCTGTGGCACCGTGACATCCCTACAAATCAACCACCATCGGAGACGGTCCAAGAAAGAGCACGCTGTGTTTCAAATGAGAAATGTGTGCTGTACCATCCTTAAACTGCAGCCACAACTGCTTCTGAAATCAGTATAATGCATCCTGATACATTTCCTCCTCACTCACCTGTGCTCATTCTGGTAACCTGTTCTTAGAGAGGGGTTGTTGAATTAATGTCATCAGCATGTTCAGCTCCAAGGACTGATTCATTTTTCCCCTTCCTTTTCCTTTGTGAAACATTTTCTTCATTAATGATCTCTGAAATCATACAGAAGAGATGTTGCCACTAGAAGCAGGCAGCCCGAGCCCCCCATGAGTCCGAATTGTGATCTGAGTGATGCTTCTCTTAGCTGGTGTGAGATGACTTTGATTGTGGCACTTCCACAGCCACCTCCGCAGCTCTGTTTGGACCTGCAAACAAATAGAAATTGCAGAAAGTTACAGACGCCTAGGCTTTTTGTTTACCTGTTGAGCAAAATGGTTAATGTCTCGGCAATGCTGCCATTTACCCATACCAAAAAATGTGTTTGAGGTTTTCACTCCAAAGAATAGCTCTTACCTCAGGGCAGTTATTTATGAAAAATGTTTGTATGACTTTTTTTTTATTACACAAGCTTCCCCTCCATTTGCCTACCTCTCCATTCATGAAACAGTAAAGAAGCGCCACCACAAACCCCTGCAACATAAAAGACATCTGTTTCAAGATAAAATCATAAGAGTAAGAACTGATTGCATGTACAGTCCGCTTAAGGGAAAACAGTGACTTGTGTTGCTAACACTTAATTGCACAAAGCATCACAATAACTTCAGAGAACAAACAAGCAAAACAGGATGAAGCTGCAGGCTTTGAAGAAGTCATTCGGTTGCTGATTTATTGTTGTTTGTTAATTCATTTTGTCATGTTTATGGGATACATTTTGTGCTGCATAAATGTCAACATTCCACGTAGTTATAGTCTTACACATGCACAGATATTATGGAGTGGTTATTTATGACCGTGATTATTTCAGCCAGCAAGGGCTGCCGCTCTTAGGGGTCGCCATAACAGATCATCTGCTTCCATTTCTCCTAGTATCTAGTATTCCTAGTATCCTCTTCTTCCACATATTCATATGAATGTACTCTTCCTACATATGCCCAAACCATCTCAACCTTGTTTCTCTATCGCTCAAGCCCTCATTCTGATATTCTCATTTCTAATCGTGTCCATCCTGGTCACTCCCAATGAAAATCTTAACATCCTCAACATTGCCACTTTCAGGATCAGCTCCTGTGTTTTTGTCAGTGCCACCATATCCCAACCAAACATCACAGCAGGTCTCATTAACATTTTGTAAACCCTCCCTTTTACTTTGGCTGCTATCCTTCTGTCACAATCATCCCAACACTCATCTCCACCAACTCCACCCTGACTGCACTCTCCTCTTCACTTCTGCTGTGCACCCTGTATTCTGTCTTGTATCTACTGACTTTCATTCCTTTTTTAACTTGTCCATCACCACTGCATACAAGAAGGTCCTCAGAGCTGATCCCTGATGTAGTCCTACTCCCACCTTGAACTCATCTGTGTCTCTGTCTCCTACTGCACCTCAGTGATATACTCATACAATACCACAGTTCCTCCGAGCACACAATCAATGACTTCTCTAGATCCATGAACACACAGTGAAGCTCCTTCTGGCCTTCTCTATATTTCTCTATATTTCTCTATCAACTCTCTCAAATATCTTATCTGTAGTGTTGTCTGTGAAGGTTCTCAGTCATCCAGATCATTGCAGTCTAAGGAGCTTGGTGAGAAAAGTGTCTGGACTTTTCAGCTGTCATCCGAGAAACTTCCGAGAGTGCCAGACCCTCTTGGGGACATTCCCGTAGGGCTTAAAATCTGGGACTCTCCACCAGTTGCTCTTTGAACTGAAGAAGCTTCTTAGATGAGAGGTGAAACATCTTCAGTCCAGATGCTTTTCTTTCCAAGTTCTGTAGTGTTACTTCTTGGCATGAACCCATACTGCTGCTAACTGATATCACCTCTCTCCTTAACCTAGCTCCATGAACTACAACTGAATGTCTACATGGGATCACTCATCAGCTTTATCCCTCTGTTACCTCCTGTTTTAACTTTGCGCATAATCTTGATAAATTGGAAGATACAATAGGATATCAGTGTGCGCAGGTTTCTCTAAAATATAATGATCGAGTTGAGAATTCAGTGAATTTTAGAGGGACAGGTGCTGGAACAGACTGAGGGATGGATGGCAGACACCTCACCATCACATAAGTTCATCTGGCCTTCAGCCGACGAGCTTTAGTTATTATTGTGCATGCACAGGTATAAATATCAATTCCATGATGATTCAGATTTGTAACACCTGTGCTTCTAATGTGACAAGGAAAATAAATCTGCTGGGAAGAATTTCAACTTGAGAAATGTGAGTTATTTATTTTTAGCAATTCTTTGTGAACTGTGATTCTGAAGTTTTATACCTGAAAGGAGCCCAGTCCCAGCTCGATGTAGAGTCTGGCTGCTACTCCAGTGTTCTCAGGCAAGAAGGCAAATACAGTGTAGTGCATCCCAAACAGAGGAATCAGGAACAGGGTGGATTTTGCCAGCCTCCTGAGTGAAGCAAAAAGAAAGGACTGAAAAATAAAAAATAAGTCCAGATAATGATGCAACACTTTGAAAGATTACAGTGTGTTACCAGTATGGTCAGCTACTTTCAGTCATGTCAGAGGTACAAGTTTCAAATGCCAGACAGACTAAATGCGTCATTCAGGTTTCATCAAAGCTACAATGGTGGTGTCAGATTTTCATTACACTGACCTTTAAAACAACATCGTCATCAGGCCAATCAGTGGAAAAGATTAAAATGTCAAAACACAAAACCTGAACACATTGTGCTTAGTTCAGCTCATATCACTGATGTCTAAATATCATGTAAATGTTGCCATTTAATTTCTTATGACATTTTGTTGAAACGGTTTCCCGCAAGTAATGCAGTTTGAAAAGAGCAACTCAACATCTGCTTCATCATCAAAAGACACTGAGATAAGTATCATGTTTATGCTCTTCATCATTTACTTTTCTGTATATCCTATTGAGATTGGAAAACCTAGCTGGGTACAGATCCACTCACAAGAGTATCCAGTTCATCAGAGATCAACAGACAGCTGTTATCCTAACAACTGACATGTGTGTGTGTTTTATTCTCACTTTAGTTTCCTCAGTGACACTCTCACATGTATGAGGATGTTGCAGTATATGTTTTAGTCATCTAGATAGTCAGATTAAACCATAAAATAGCTCTAATCAGAAATATTATCACAGCTTCAACTGCTTAAAGATTAAAGATGGAGGGGAGCTATCAGCTTATTTCAGGCGAATAATTTGTGCCTTTGTGTGAACGCCAAGGTTCCTCCTGAATCAAATTTAAGTTCCTACGACAGGCGGGGCTTTTAATCCTGTGAAACATTCATTGAACTGGTGGAACAATCCTGTCGCACGTCAAAGTAGGTAACATCTATTTCTGGAATCTGGAGCTATTTTTATATGCTCTCATTCTAAATTAATTCAGCTGAGCACAAATGTGCACCAGCCAGATGTCAAGAGAAAGAAGGATTCTTTCAGGTGAAGCAGGGTTTCACTGCTGCTGCAGTAGATTCATGTATGCATATATTATATTAAAGTGTAAGAAGCCGTTCAAACTTTTGTCAAGGGATTTAAACAGCTCCCCCTCACCTTTTCTTCTTACATACTACTGCCTCAGTTAGCAGTTTCCACTTAACACCCAGCAAAAGGTTTACATGTTAAAATAAATTACTATTTATCCAACTGAATTATAAAGAGTTTAGTGCAAGAAAATGATTTAAAGCTCAGCTTTATTAATGCTGAACCACTTTTCTCTGCATATGATGTTTTTAACTCACACCTGAGCTATAGGTTCCCATAAGTAAAGCCCAAAATTATCTCATGTATCCACTTGTTGGTGTTAGACACTTGTAACGTTGATCTTCATTATGGTACCATGATGGTACAGTTCTGGTAATAGCAAGTGAGCAAGTCATGGAGTTCTTAGGATGTATCATTGCAAATCGGGGCGGAAAAAAATAAAAAAATTTCTGGGATTTCACATTGCCGATGGATCTATTTTTACCAAAACCATATTTTTTTTTCCTTAAAACTTACCAAGGGCGTAGATCATCTTGCATGGCCACTATGGTGAGGTGAGGCCGCTGCCTCACCTGACTTATAAAAGTTATTATGTCATAAGCCAGTCTTGTTTTTATAATTTATTTTTCTGCAAAATTCTGACCGTACCATCTGTCGCAACAAAAATTCAGAATCAGACCGGGCAAGTCTGCTTCTTCTTCAAGTTATTTTCAGCCAGAGAACTGATGCTCACTGGAACTTTTCTTTTTATCTCGCCACACTCTGTAAACCCTAGAGTTAGTTGTGTGGGAAAATCCCAGCAAATCAGCAGTTTAGGTAACAGTCAGATCAACCTGTCTGATACCAACAACCATGCCACATTCAAAGTCACCTAAATCCCATTTCTTCCTCATTCTGCTTGATTTGAAATTCAGCAGGCCGTCTTGGCCAAATCTAGATCCCTACATGTATTGAGTTTATGAGCGATTGGATAAATTGGATAAAACCAGATTTCAACCCTTCCAATAGTTGAGACATTTCGCTAAGTTATACGACTTTCATCCACATGAGAGAACAAGATTAAACGTTGGTGAAAAGTGAAAAAGGATTAGTCTTCTGGGCACAATATATGTCTGTAAAAATGTAATACACAAAATTTACAGTTGTTTCTAAATATTTGTGTGAATTTGGTTTGATTTATTCAAACCTATACTTGTGATGTGCTGGCTCACATCCAGGCTTCAAAGAAAGACGGTGAAAGTTGCAAACTCACAGAGCACATCCAATCCAAAAAAGAAAAAAAACTTGAAAGAGATTGCATCAGAGAGGGGAAGTGTGGCTTTGATCTTATTTTTCAGTCATACAAGACATTTCTTATAAGTACAAATGTAATCTGTAAGAAATCAAATTTTATTCTTGTACAGTGTTTAAATTTTAAACTTACAGATTATTAAAATGAAGGTTTATCAAAATAGCACTAAGATTAAGTTCAGCACCCTATGTAAGATGTATGGATATCGAAACTAATTTATCTGATAGGTTATCCGTTCTTCATCATTTCCTGACATCACACATGCACACACTGGGGTAAGTTCAGAGCTCTTTAGAGTGCTGTATTAGCTGATTGGTGCAAGCTACTTCTTTTCTTCCTCACAATCAGAAATCTGTTCATCAGCTGTAAGGTTTCCTGCTGAGACGTATTATCAAATCTCATTTTCACTAGATAAAACAGCCTTCCTGAGCAGTCCATCCTCACAGACTCCTCTTACCTTACTGCTGCCCTAAAGGTTTTTGGTTTTCATATTAATTTACTACTTTACAGCTTCTATTAAAGAGCAGCACGCTTTTTATCAAATCAAAGCTATTATATGTCACATCAATAACTTGTGACTAGAGTGATCATATGTCCCACTTTACGAGGGGCATATGTTGAGACAATGGTCAGCATTTTGATTGGTTCCTTACATCTCATAAATCAACACTGAGTTACACTTTTCAAAGCCTGGCTCTTATCCAATAAGAGAAAGAAGAAGAGGCCGTCTCATTGGGGGCTCCTTATGATGTCAATCATAATCATATAATTGGTTCTTATATAGCACTTTTCTACTCTGCCTGAGCACTCGAAGTTCTTTATACAACTTGCTTCATTCACCCATTTACTTTTTTCTGTGTTTAAGTGCTTTTTATCTAACATTCGCACACATCCACACTCCGATGGGCCCACTGCAGAGGAACTTGGGGTTAATATCTTGCCCAAGGATATTTAGCATGCAGACTGGAGCAGCCAGGGATCAAACCACCAACCTTCTGATTAGTAGGTGACAAACTCTATCTAGTTACCTAGCTACAGTCAGGAGGTATAGCATTTAAACTCTGAACCAAAGAAAATGAATGGAAAGATAAAAGTGGCTGAAATAACTAGCATTTACCACACTGTGCAGCAAACCCAATCACAAAGATCAATAGACTGTTGCAGTAAACTAGCACCAGTCATTTTTTCAGAGTCAGATGAAAATTTCCTGCTTTCCAACCAGGTGCTTTCAGGGTGCTAGGGTGCATGTCCTGTGTGGGCTTGTAAGCTGTTGTTGCCATGATGAACAAACAGAACAGGTGTTTTTGAGTGATTCTTTTTCTCTGGAAAAGTTTTCATTTGTATTAATGTGATTTGAACTATTTAGTTTAATGTTTTGTCTTGTGAATTTTATGCACCTTATTGAGATTAGGAGGGTGGCCTGCAGGACACAAATGCATACTGACTTTTCAGAATATTGCTGTCCTTCAGTTAATAGGCAGCAGTGGAGCAACTTGTTGATGCAGTTTTTTCTCTGTTTTTTGTATCACAAGAACGACCGACTGTTCTTCTATTAATTTTGACCAAAAGAGGGAATACACAAGTGCAGACAGCCACATGTAAACAGTTCAGCTAAATCTGGATCTGTTGCATGATATTTTTAAAGACCAGCTATAACAAAATTTTGCACTAGCACAACATTGTACACTGTGCCCCACATTGTCCCACGGAGATAATCTCTCCTCGTGACTCACATAAAGTGTCCAGTGTCATTGTTCCCTGTCATGGCAGAAGATTTAAGCTTTTCAACCAGAATCCGGATGACGTTGACGAAGATGACTATGTTGATCTGGAAGAGAAACATGCACAGTGGCCTAAATGGCAAAATCAGATACACACTAGTTAAAAGACATTCAGTGTTATCACATGGGAATGAAAAATTTAAAAATCCTGTATCATCACAGGATAAAGGTGATTACTATTGAACTCGAGACAAAGTGAACCACAATGTGTCACTGCAAACGAGAACATTCACTCCGCTGATGGGCCAAATGTGTCTGAGGCAAGAAAAGTAAATACAGGAAAAAGATACTATGTTCTGGACTAGTTGATTACGTGGAAAATCAATGTGTTTATCATATTTACCACAGTAATATTTCAGGAAAAAAATGTACTCTGAATGTATACAGAACTCTGTTGCATCTCATAATGCAAAACGTAAAGAATTCAGGGAGGCTTTTAGCTCAATCTTGCAGCGTACACCAGGAAATTGGGTCAGCTCGAAGTTGGATCAGATCCTCACTATAAACCACTCTGGAGTTTGTCTGGAAGTGGACCGAGTCCAGAAAAAGTACAGGTGAGTAAACAACCTCGGTTAACTGAAATATTACCATAGCTGCCAGAGATGTTCATTTCTACCAACTCACTGAAGTAAAGTTATCTTAATTAACTAGTTAAACTTGTGCCAGGAACAAATGTGATTTGCAAGAAAACTTCTGTCTCTCAGTATGTTGGCAAATATTTATTAACCTTTAGCTTTGACAAAAGAAAATCTGACATCAAAGGATTTAAAAGACAAAACCACCAATACATATTTCTTAACAAGCTCCTAAAATTTTAAAACATCGCTGGTATATTATTTAATATTTCATGATCACTGCCCCAAGGGCCACAAACTTGCACTTCCTCTGCCTGAAGAATCCCACTTTAGTGTAAAATTTCCTCGTAAAACTTTAATTGTAAATCTGCCACCACAAAACAAAAAAACAGACAGGCAAGTTTATCAGGTACTTGGTGTTTAACTCCTATACTCACCAGCAGTGAGGCTGTTATTGGTCCCTTAATAATCCACCAGATGCCAACATTGTCTGTATCATCCCAGCAACTGTAAAGCCAAATGTAATGTCAGTGCAATACTAAACCTACAAAAATAGATATAATAGTTCACATGGACTGGCAAGCTGCTTTAAATAAAATGCAGAAATATGAAAGTAACAACAGTAAAAACATACCCTCTGTCATCATAGAAGAATCTGGTCAAAACCCACAGTATGAGAACTGTAGATGGGAGCCCTATAACGTAAGGGCAGGAATTAATTATGCATGCTCTGTTTACCTGTCAAGTAAAATCAATCCGAACATTGCTCCAGACCGAACGCATCTGTTTGCTGCATATTTCTTTGTTGACAAGCATAGAAAATATTAAGTTGACTCTGTGTAAAAAAAATTTCCATGCTACTTGCATCTGTTTCATGCCCAAAAAAAAAGGAGTACACAGAGAATAAAAGCAGGAGACACGAGAGAGCAGGATAGTAAAGCCAGAAAGAAGCTGATAAGATGCATCAGAGCCACCGTGGTTACAGTCTGAGCACCACTCGTGTGCACACACGTAAACACACCTCAGGTGCTTTGTGTAAAAACATTCAGGACAAAAATATTTACATATCTTCACATATTCATCTGTGTAGTTTCATATTTTTTTAAGCATTATTATGGCTGTTATTGTTGTAACTTTGTATAGGGAATATCACAAGCAATACATCACCAACCCAACATCTGTTGTCCAGGTATAAAATATGATAATTTGGGGGAACAGCCGAATTTATTAAGTAATCATCCTTTTATCAACAGCTGAAACTGCTGTGCATTAATTCTTGGGTGAAAATAAGACGAATAAGGAAATCCTGGGTTTTCAGTAATAGCGGTTCTGTTTTTTCTTTTTCTTACCAGGTTATATCGCCATGGTAACTTGTGGGTCATGTTCAACATTAGACAGGTGAAATCACTGCCTATAGATTAATCGACTATGCAGAAGACTGTGTAAACATTCCCAGAACATGATAGTAAAATGATCTAAAGTCTTTGTGTTTGCTAAATCAACTGGCACGTTCAGGTATGGATACAGATCAGTGTCAGAATTATTTGAACTACCTTACGAGTCAAAATATGAGCAATAGTGCTCATTACTTTCTTTTTTCTGGGGGGAGTTTAACACTTGCTGTGACAAGTCGTCAGGGTTTCTTACAACAAAACTGGGATTTCATTTGACAAAATGCAATCTTGGAACCACTGATGATCATCTGACAATGATTTAGCTTTTGAGATCTTTGGAATCATTTACATTCGTAACAAGCTAAATGATTGAGCTAATAGGCTAGTCACTGGGTTCTCTGATGAGCTCCGCTCATCTTTATGGGGAAATTATGGTTCACCAATGGCAGTGTGGGCAGCCTGTGATCAGATTAGGTTGCTGTGGGTCCATCAGGTGCAGAGAATAGTAAACTTCTAGCACACGAAGATGATTTGGGGAAATTTGTGGAATTTTTTTTGAACTTCTACCTTTTTGCTACCTTCCCTGTCCCCGCCTACTCATAAACCGATCAGCAACGAACACACTCATCCATGTCAAGCACCATGCAGCATGGATTTTGGACGACTGTCGGAGCATATTTACATAGTTTGAAAACCCCTCTCCGTGGACAAATCCCTCCATAAATCGAAACAATCGGGGTAGCATAAACTAAGCATGACACAGACTCTGCTTCTATGCCACAACACTTCCATCAAATTTTGCTTCCTCCTTCACACACTGCTTCAAATCACACCATGAATGTTTCAGAAGAAGTCTGCACAGTTCTCACCACATTTTTCTTCAAGTCAATCTGATCTATAAAGAGGACAGAGTCATTTTTCCAGACACAGAGGAACTTGTGTAATACTTCTGACTGAAAAAAGCTCTGTCTTGAGCTGGCCTTAAAGCCATGTATTCTCATTGTTATGGGTACTTTTCCCTATGCAACCCTCTGAACATAGGCAGGATTCACAACAGAGTCCAGTATCAGCACTGTGTATAGCTCCCAAAGCCTCATCTTAAACCTGAATCAGTGGTGAAAGATGCACGATTAGCTATTTGTCCATGTTTTTTCTCAACATGGAGGAAAAAAAACAAAAACTATGTTTCAGAAAAGGCAGCAAAAAAAGCACGAGACCTTGGGCCTGATGTCTCACCCCATTTCTCTCTGACAGAGGAGGGGACAGCAACGCTTTCATGTCACCTTTTTTGAGTGTAGAGTGAGCGATGAGGTGATTCAAGTTGAGTCATACAGTTCAGAAGGACAAAACAAAAACACTGTGATGTGACGTGGTGCTGTATGTGTGCATGTTTGCACTTCAGTCTTGCGTCGCTGGTTACCGTTGGAAATAAATCCTTGTAAACAAAACTTCTCAACAAATTCATCACTGCGGTACACACATCCACATACATTTAATAAATGTATTCCTTAATGATAAACGGGTGATATTAATAAGGCTTACACAGTCTGCATTTTTGCCAGCTGGCTCAAGAGAGTTTAAAGTGCACACAGCATGTTTGATACTGCACTACTGTACAGTGCTCCTCCACTCACACGGCTCAGGAGCTGAACTGGTTGCACTCCATTGCTTTCAGACTGTATTATGTGCCTAATCAGTTTTTTCTAATATCATAGTTTGATTTTCCTTGTTAAGAATCAGGCACTCTGCTCTCTGTAAACCTTTCACATTACTGACTGGTCAGATGCCTCCATTTCTGCCTCTTCCAGGGAACCACCCTTGCAGCTAGATTGGGAAGCTGTGGACTAACTTATTGAAATTATAACCACCTTTGTGTGACTGATTAGGCTGATTGCTGATGTCTGGGTAAGAGAAGAGAGAGGGGAAAGATATCCTGAGTATGTTGTACCTGCTTTGAAGCACAGCCCCAAGAAGCATTCACAATTGTAATTATGACTAATCTCACAATTAAGAGATCTTCTCCAAAAGGTTAAGTAGGTTGTTAATCAGAGATAAACTACCTGGTGTAACTTATGCTATTTTATTAATAATAACTTTTAATATTGTCTCATGCCCATGAATTCAGTGCTATTCCATTTTTAAAATTAGCAGTTCAGGCTTATAAAGTAGTGCTGCTGTGAATTGGAGCTGGAAAAATTATCACGGTTCAAGTGCAAGTTCCCAGACAAGGTGTAGAATCAACTGATCTCCGGCAGGGATTGACAGCGGTGGAGGATTTCACTTTCCTCTCTTAACTTCCTGTCAAAGCAGCTGAGCAGCAGTTGCCAGCTACAGCATCCTGCTCAGCGTGACTCACTGTTTGCATGTGGAGCACCTTTAACAACAACCTACAACTGAGACAGCTCACAAGACCTGACGTGAAATCATAATAATGTCTGCCTGAATGCTGATGACCTACCTCTTCTTTTATTAAACTGTAGCGGCGTGCTTGTAGCCCTCAGGGTCAGATCCATTTATATCTTACCATAAATTCCATTCATCACCTTATCAGAAATATCCCTGCCACTGTGTGTGAATGCAGCATTGCACTGGCATTCAGCGGAGGATTTAAAAAGCCCACGTGGCATGAAAGGTTTTGTTTTGCCAGCTGGACATTGCCTAAAAGTTTCAGGTAAGTGTGTTGCTGTTTCTCACCTTCACTGCTGCACTTAACAAAAGTGTCTGCTTAGCTCTGTGAGGCTGGACTAAGCTGCTATATTTTGGTAACAGGAACCATATAAGACTGACAGGAGCGGTGGAGCTTGAGATTACAGGCTTGAATAGGAAAATATACAGCAGCATGAAACAAACAAAACAAAAAGACAGTGGGATGGGAATGGTAAGACAATGGAAAACACTTGGCTTAGGAACAAGGGATGAGAAAACATGGAAACCTCTCAAAACATCCATAGAAAGCTAAAAAAAAAAAAAAAAAGACGGGAGAGAAAATAAAAGGGGGGGCCGAGGAAAACAAGCGCTACACTCATCTTTAGGGCTGTGCTGCTGCCTAAATAAACTGCTACCAGGATTTTGGAGGCTCAGTTCTTGTGTAAAAATAGATTTCCAACCCAGATATGAAGATAATGTGTGATAATACTGACTTTAACCCCTTAACACCTAGTGCTTTATATTAGATACATGAGTTTTTGTAAGCGTTTGAGGCTTCTATCATTAGTTTAAAATTTTCCCCTGACAATTCTAAATAAATTGTAAAATAAATGTCAAATTAATATTATGTTTTTGTCAAAAGGTCCAATAAACTCTCTCACTTCAAAATTTATAATTTTCTGGGAATAGTTTTGGCTTTAAAGGGTTAATCCATTTAAGGCACTGAAAGGGGTTTTCATACTGTTCCCCTGTTATCTCATATTCTGCAGCTGAATATATTAAATTGAGCACATCACAATGTGCAACTGATGGCACTTATTCTCCAGCAGCATTATTTACGAGAGACAGAAAAGCAACAAGACGCCTTGACTTTAAATCAGCAAAAGCCATGATGGAAACATTTGTTTGTTCTTGAAAATTATTCCTTTACCTACATTACTCTGATGTTTTAGAATTAAAAAAAAATCATGTATTTATTAAACTTTCAGTGGATCTTAACACATTTTGCTTTTACACGTAAATAACAGTCAATTTTTATTTTTTATTTTTTACTTTTTCTTCATTAAGGAGTTAATATGAGTGAATCTTTGACAGGTCCTTCAGGCATTTGCTGGCAAGCCTGTAAACGTCTGACATGTTTGCTGCAGGACCTTTAGCAGATGTGCCCGATGATGGTGTCAGAAACAATGAGGAGTGAGACCTCAAGTGAAGAACTTGCCATAAGCAGAATTAACAATGGGCTGGCTGCCTGGAGAGATGACGACGATTATGATGATGATTTGCACTGGATCACACTTCTCTGGACTTCAGAAAACCATTGAGAGCTTCTTTGAAATGGAGAAACCAAAAATATACAGCTAATGATAAGTTCTTGATGTTTTACTGGCTATTTTTTTTTAACGTGTCGTTTTGTAAGCTAGTTAGTCACTGTATAATATGAGCAGTACTGTGTGTGGAGGTCAAAGTGGCTCGCTAGCACCAGTTGAATATTTAATAGCAGCTAACATGCTAACTGCTGTGTTTTCTCCGCTTACCAAAAGAATATCTTTTAATGATTATTTTAATCACTTTTACATCTTTTAATGGTCTCTGACATGTGATATTTTAACGGTTAGATGAGCTGTTGCTGTTATGTATTTGTCAGGCTACATGATGATCAGCTAGTGTAGCTCTAGAAAAAACATGTAGGGACCTTTTGTGTGACTCGAGGCTTCAATGCTACTTTTACCTGGAAACACCGATTCAATTATTTATCAAGTATTTTCATTTTTTAAGTTCACAGGCATCCTGTTTGTAAGGATACAGTCTCTTCAAGTCGGAAAATATTGCTCATTCAAATCAATCATTTATAGTGTTTTTCTCACACACAGACACATCCGGGATGTAGCGAGAAAACCAATCACTGTTGTAGGCTATGACCACAATTTTACATTTTTACATTTTTAAAATGTATGTATTACATTTTCCTCTTTCACTATCCTTCTTGAATACTGCTTATTTAACAGTTTTAGTTTTTTAAAGAGTACCACTAAATAGATAAAGTTTGTGAAGTGCCTTTTTTAACCAGTCCCTCCCTGCCTATATAAAACATTTGTTTTTAAATGCTGCAATCCATTTAACAAGTTAACATCATACGGGTGTTAACAAAGGGTGTTTTCCCATATTATTCAATTGAATTTCAATGTATTTTGCACAGTGCAAGCTGTGGAAAATTTTATTTGGATTTCTTTTAAATTACCCAAAGTCACACACTACTAAAAACAATTTCTTTCCTGTAAAAACTTTAGTTTGTACCCCTTAAAACACAATGAAATCCCATTTAATTCTAGGAGAATTACACTTTTGTGTAATTAAAAAATAATCTGTATTAATTTGTGTAACACAATTATAGAGGCTGTGCTTTTGTACACAGAAACAAAGGAAGCCTGTATTCTAATTTGCCCATTTGACATGTCGGTGCAAATTGACAATATTCCAATGTGAGCAAAAACATCAAGTCATGGGACTTATAAACATATACAGACAAAGGACAAAAGGTGTTAATTGACTGTTTAGGATAATAAACACATTGTTCAGTAGTCAAAACCGCAAAACAAGGCAAAAAAATTTTGACTTTCTAAGCATATTTTCAGAAAAGCAAATTGTTTGTCTTTGCATCCACAACTGAGCTTATTTGTAACAAAAAAAGAAGTTTTTCTACCATATTTATAGCACCTCCCCTTTCAACTGAGCCTCTGTGTTCTATGGCCCTGTCTCTATTTCACCAATATTTGCTTTATTGCTAGAGCTGATCATGATTAACAAATGATTTTAGATAACCCTTTTGAATATTAATCTGTTTGTGGGTCACATTTTATTCTATGTTTTTTAGTGTTTGTGTTGGAGCTACAGTGTGTGATTGTTTTTGTAAAGACAAATTCAGTCACTCTTACTCACCCCATCCAATCAGGATATACCACCAGAAGTATTTCCTCTGTGAGACGAAGGTCAGAGCCAGCAGCGTCTGCAGATACATGCCCTCCACCAGCAGCCAGAAGTAATTGGCCAGGATGCTGAACTGGAAGAAAGCCACGGCTGACTTGCACGCTTTCTATAGAGAGGAAACAACAAAACAAAGTTAGAAAAACTGGATGTGTCATCATTTAACATAATAATACATCTTTTTGTGTAATAAAAGGGAAGGTAGTGACAAAAAAATATTTGATTCTTCTTCTACTTTTGCTATAACTTCAACTGAAGTCAATCAAGTACAAAGAAATACAAAATAAGCACCAAGGAACTCAAACCAATTAAAAAAAAAGACAAAAATAAAATACCTAAATAGTCACAAAATCACAATTTGAGAAGACTTGCAAAAGAAATTAAAATTTATAAAACAATAAAAAAGGAACACAAAATTAGCAAAATCTAGAGATATAAACCAACAGGAAGATGTGCAGTACATAACCACAAAAACACACAAAAGTGTAAAACCAGCACCAAACAATAAGTGAACAAAGATAAACAAAAAAAACCCCACAAAGATACACAAGAGAATAAAAACCAAAGATGACAAAAAAGCAATAAAAAGCATGGACACCGAGACCAAAACATGTAATAAGGAACAAACACAAAGGCTGTTTTTTTAAAATCAATTCATGAAAAAAGAAACAAACCTTTTCTCCAAATCCAACACATACATGTGCAAAAACAGCATATTCAGTACATTCTATATAAGGAGATCCTGATACAAAATATATACAGGACGGAAGTGTCTGTATTCCTGTTCACTCTATAACCTTCTGACTTCCAGCACATGAATGAATCATGCCACCTGCAGAAGTCGTCTAATGACACTGCAGTGGTTGGGTGTATTAGGGACAGGGCTGGAGTGGGAGGTGATGAAGAGCTATGTGTAGTACTTTGGCAGAAAACCACCTCCTTCTGAAAGTCAGCCACTCAAAAGAGATAGTGGTTGATTTCCAGTGACTAAGCCAATTAGCATGATGGGTGACTGAAGCAGTGGACGGCTACAGGTACTAGGGTGTTCACATGAATGACAGATTGGATTCTATTTTTTGAGGAACCTCAGTTCTTCCAGTGTTTGAGGCAAAACGGCAAGACCAATTTTTAGCAGCAAGTGTCTGCTTGGAGGGGTGGCATCTGTGCCAGAGATGCCAGCAGGAACAACAAATTCATCAGTGGCCAGAATCTGGAGGCGTTTGAGTCACAGAGGGACAGGAGGGCATTGACAAACTATTGTCCATCATGGACACACCCACTCCATTTCACACTACAGAGCCAACAGAGTTCGTTCTCCCTCAGACCCCACTAACATAAAGACCACTTCAGGAAATCATTCCTACGGTTATACCTTCATCCATCTATCTATCTATCTATCTATCTATCTATCTATCTATCTATCTATCTATCTATCTATCTATCTATCTATCTATCTATCTATCTATCTATCT